CGGCCTACTGCCCGGCGGGAGGGGACCTGCGTGCTGTGCTCGTCTGCGAGCCCCTCAGGCCCCAGATCTCGGCCCCTGACGTCGAGTTTCTCGTCGACTCCGAGGGTCAGTATCGGGCCTCCCTGCGCTGGATCTCAAGGAGGACAGAAGACGTAATGAAACACTTGAGGAGCAACAATGTTAGACTGTTACTGTCGAGCGTGAAGCAAGACGAGGTCGTTATCTACTACGCAAAATTATACGGTGTATCTGTAGTAGAGTGCTTGTCGTCGGAAGAAATAGCTCTTATCTCTGAAATCACAGGAGTCTCGCCTTACACACCTTCTGGTGGGAACATACACGGAGAAATCACTGAAGCCGCAGTGGCAACGTTTTGCCAGCCCTTGCTGCTCGGCTCAAAGAGATGCGTTCACATTGGCTTCACCAGTGTGTGCGCCTTTCAGCCCCACTGCCTCATCCTTTGTGGGCCAGTGGATGCTGTTAATGAGGAAAATGCTGCTGCTTTACAAGGGGCATTCATAATGCTGCAGCAGCTCTTTAAAACAGTTGATCGGAGGGAAGAATGGAAAGCAGAAGGTGAAAACCAGAATGAAGCCTCAGGTGTTTGCAGTTGGTGTTCTTCTGCTACTCAGGGGCAACTCATAATAGAAAATATATCTTGTAATAATAGTCAGGTTTCTGAACATCTACTGAAAACTCAAAGGAATGAAACAGAGACACAAATTGTAGACCCTGACTTGCTGGGAAGTGAAAATCCAGCATGTGTGCAAACAGAGTTGCAAATACCCTCAAATCCCATCTCGCACATCAAGGAATTCAATGTTGCCTCTGAAAGAGGTCAGTCTTCAAGAGATGTACAGAAACCGCGTGCAAAATGCGAGCATCCGGCTGACACGCACGAGAACTGCAAAAGTGATTCACTTGTGGACAATCAAAAGAATTGCAGCACTGCTGTGTCAGCAGCACCTAATGCTCGTACAGTCACTGCGTGTGAATGCCTAGATGTTGGCAAAGACCTAGAGAAAATAAGTTGCAATATAGTCCCATTTAAACATGAAAAGAGTTGTGCAAGTATTGCCCAGAATTACTCCAGCTCCCTCATAGAAGCAGGATCAGTTTTGCCAGTAGGAGGTTACTTTGAAATCCTGTTACATTACTACATTCAGTACTATGCAAAACAGTTTCAGCAGTCAGAGATGACTGTCATATCTAATGTAGTTGCTGATGCTTTGCTAAGTATTCCCAAGTCCTTATACAGCACAACAGAACAAAACAGCTTCACCAAATTCTATCTCGAAGCCACGAATGCACTCAGAAGAAATCAGCCACTGCCTATGAATGAGAAAGGCTTAGAATCGGTGTATTGCAAATACCAGTTGGTCATTTCAGTTCTTCATTGTGTTACAGAGCTTCTCTCCATAGATTTAATAATTGGTGTTAAGCGGCCACCGCAAAAAACTGAGGATAATGACTCAGAAGATGACTTCTGAAATCATTAATAAAGAATGTTTTGGTTATGTGTTTTCCTGTGTCTTCTTGTGGAATGGGCATGTCTCAGAATTCAGTGCTAGAGACTAAAAGATCTCCTTTTAGGCCCAGAGGCCCAACGCACTTCTTTCCTTTTAGAAGAAAAGCAAGAGAAAGGCTGACCAGCTGAGATGTGTGGAAAACTGGGTTGTGAACAGCACAAACTTGAAGTTTCAAACGTGAGAAAGCGTAGCTGATTTCCACTGCAGAAGATCTGCAATGCCTTCTCTGTCCGCGTGCAGAGGATCCTGTGTATGTTCTAGCCAAGGGCGAACTTTCCCTCTTCTGGAGTTTGAGTATTTATGCGAAGGAGATGCGATTAGTTTTCCTGGCATGGTAAAAGTTGCCAGTATGACACGAGACGGTGAACTTGCAAGTTGTAAGCAAAGGGGGTTTTTAGCCTTTATAATAGGCTGGATCGAATGTCATTTTAAATAAAAATATTTTTGTGTATATTGTGGTTTTGAACATAGTGGGAAAAATCTGGCTGTTGTCCTGTCCAGTGCTGGGCAGGCAGCGGCAGGCCGCTGCAGCATATCCCAGGGAAGAACTTTCTCGTCTGGTAGGAGACGCAGCGTGTTTATCTTCCACTGAGTTCACTTAAACTGGTAGAATTAAGAATAATTTTATCTCCTGACTGGCTGGTGTGTGCTCTGGCAAATTAGCTTCTGTTTGGCATTAATTAGTGCAGCTATTAATTTTAATGATCCTGAGTTGAGTTGTGGTGCTACTATAAAAAGCTGTGTAATGATAGGAAAAGTTTACGCAGGCAATAATGCAGTTTTGTGTGAAAAACCTGAGACAATGTTTCAGTTCTGACTTTGATCATGTGGGATTTTTTCTGGTTTTGTTGTTGTTTTTTTTTTCTTCTTTTTTTCCCTCGCAGGATTTTCACCCTGATGTGATTTGCTTTGAGCTCATGCCCATTTGACAATATCACCTGGCTGTCAATATACCTCCTTGTCTGCTGTGTCTGAAAAGCTTCTGATTTGGCGTGGGAGGTTTTGAATAACTGAACAGCTGCAGCGGATAACAGTATCACATCGGTTCTCTGTGTGCCATGGCCAGTATTGCGTAATACTTAGAATAACTGGATTTTTTTTAATCTGCCATTAAATAAAATATTTAATGAGGATATTTAAAATCATAGACACAAATCATATTTATCTGCTGTATCTGAGATGATTACAGATGGAAATTAGATTTTTTTCCCCATTCATTTATGCTATTGCTTTCCTTTTTTCGGTTTCTTCGGAGGAGTCTATTTACCAAAGTTGTTTCAGGTGTTTGGCAGCAATGCTCTGTTTGACTACAGACCTTGAAATTTTATATATATTCTTAGTAATATGAAATATAGTAATTTAATTTTTTTTTTCTGACTAATACACTCTTAACAGACACCTGCATAAACAGTGAAACTTGTTGTTCACTAGAGTGATTTCTTTAATGAAGGACTAGGGACAGTAATTCTTTTTTTTAGAATTGTTGGTGGGTGCAGAGATGGGGGAGAATTAAACATGGGGGAGAGCAAAGAAACTCACATTATTACTGTTACCAGACGCTTTCGGTAGCTGCTTAATGTGACGGGTCCAGTGTGAGCACAGAGAAATCTCAGCTGTGGAAGAGCCCGTGTCTCCGAGCTGCGTGCCCTGCTTGCTCAGGCCGCCTCAGGGCCGCTCAGCGCCTTCCACCAGCCCTGGCACTTGGGTTCTGTATTTTAACTTTGTAATGAGCTGCTGAGACAGTTTTGCTCTTGCACAAGTTTCTGCGTGCTCTGTGCAAACTGCTGAGCAGCTTGCTGTCCAGAGAGTAATGATTTGCTTCATGGTAGCCTTACAGCTGCGGTGCAGGGTGCGGGAAGCCTGGCAGCAGTGGAGGTTATCTGCAGAAGCTGCTTTTTTGTTCTGAAGCCCGGTATTCTCTAAACAGAGGTAAAATAAAGAGAATACTGTGTCGTTTCACATTATTTTATATCATTTGCACATCTGCACACTTTCAGATTTACTGCAGTTCCTTGAAAAAGGTTAAAACAAAAATGTTTTGGTATGTGAATGGCCTTCTGGCTGTTTGATTTAAATTGTGTCATTCTTATCATTGAGAAGAAGAAAGTCCAAAATTCTATGATATACAAAACTCCTATTTTGGTACGGCAGAGATACAAGGGAGAATTTCAAAATGACAGTTATATAAAACTTCTTTTTCTGAGCTATTTCTGATGAAACCTCTCAAGTCTGGAGGCTCGTTGAGTCAGGTGCTATATTTCATTGACATCTCTGTCCTTTTATGTTTTGGGAATGAAGAGTTTTCCTTTTTGAACTACTGATTCCCTGCTTTGTGTGGAGAACTGAGAACATGGCACGCCTTTCCCTTGGAGAGCAGTGTCCCTTCTTTGTCCTGGGCTGCTGGGGTGATGCTTGTTCAGGACATGGCTGTCCCTTGAGATAGTGTCAGGGACAAAGGGGTTACCTGGGACAGCTTGGAAGAACATGTTTACTCAGTCAAAACCCCAGGGAGCGGTATGTTTGGGCATGCACTAAGGTT